GCTCGGTGTCTCCGCGGCACCGCGCTCCGTCCGTGTGTCCGTCCGGGTGAGGCCGAGCCGGGCGGCGGGGCCCCGGCGCGGGCGGGCGGCGCTCGGCCCCGTTCCGTGATGTGATGTCGGTGCCGGGGGTCGTGTCCTCCCCGGTGGCTGTGCTCTGCTCCCGGTGCCACACCGGATCCGCCGGGAAGCGAAGCCGCAGGAGCTCAGCTCGTGTGGAGGCTGAAGCGGCTCCAATTACACCAGTTTTGTGGTTTGTTGTTAATTATTACGGACGTTCTCAGGGCTGTTGATGTGTCGGGGCTGTGATTTGTTAGCTCTGCTTGTCCTCAGCCTCTGCAGGCTCAGAACTCGTGGGGGGAGACACCAGGACCCGGGTTTGGGCTCTGTTTGGACCTGTGTCTAAGGAAGCTGCCAGGAAAAGCAGGACCTGCAGAGGTTTCCAGGCTCTGGAGGGAGCCCAGGCCCTGCAGGAAGCAGCACTCACCTCCTGGAGCTGCTCATGGACCTGAAATCAGGGGCTGTGTGTCAGGGCTGACCCCAGGAGCCCATTCCCTATTCCAGGAGGGATAACTGACCCCATTCCCAGCTCCAGGAGGGAAAACTGACCCTATTCCCTATTTCAGGAGGGATAACTGACCCTATTCCCAGGAAGGATCACTGACCTTAGGACCCCATTCCCTATTCCAGGGGGGAAAACTGAGCCCAGGACCCCATTCCCAGGAAGGATAACTGATTCCATTCCCATTCCCAGGAGGGAAAACTGACCTTAGGACCCCATTCCCTATTCCAGAAAGGATAACTGACCCCATTCCCAGCTCCAGAAAGGATAACTGACCCCATTCCCATTCCCAGGATGGATAACTGACCCCTGGGCCTTCTCCCACCCATGGAGCTGATTGTAGGAATGCCTCCCCCCCGTTGATGAAGTGACTAAATTATCCTTTATCTCTTAAAAAAGGGAAAAAAGCCCCAAAGTTTCTTTTTTTTTCTATTAGGTAAAAGGACACTTCATAAGACTTTAGGGATTTCACCTCAAACTTAAGGACAGAAGGCAAAAGGTCTTGTCTAAGAATTCATTATAAAAATAAGATAACAAAGGCACTAATTGCCAAAAAGTCTTGTCTAATCAATTCATTAGAAAAAGAAGGTAACAAAGGAACTAATTGCCAAGAGATCTTGTGTAATCAGTTCATTAGAAAAAGAAGATAAAGGAACTAATTGCTTTTGTGGGGTGCTTTACTAAGAGCCTCTTGCCCCTAGCTGGAGTTTTCTCTATAAAGAGCTTTGTTATTTTGCCTTTTATTAAAACTTTTCCATTCCAAACACCACCTGCAGCAGCAGAGCTACCTCAAACGCGACTCATTTCTGCAAAACCTCCTCTCAGAGAGCTCATTTGTGCCAGGTGACGAGGGGCAGGGCCCTGTCTGCTGTTTCTCCCTGCAGCAGGAGCAGAGATGTCGCTGTCCAAGCGCGAGCTGGACGAGCTGAAGCCATGGATCGAGAAGACGGTGAAGCGAGTGCTGGGCTTCTCCGAGCCCACCGTGGTCACTGCAGCACTCAACTGCGTGGGCAAGGGCATGGACAAGAAAAAAGCAGCTGGTATGTCCACAGCTGGGCTTGGGAAACAGCTCCAGACCTGGCCAGGGCGTTGGGGCAGGGGCACGGGGGGGTTCTGTCAGCTTCCCTGAGGTGAGCAGGGGAAATCCCTCAGAGCAGACTCAGCTGGAGGCCTTGGGATGTGTTAAAAATGCAAGTAAAAGTTAATTGCTCATCCAAGGAACTGGAAATGGTAATGGAAAACAGCCCCAAACCTGGCCAGGGTGGAGGGGCAGGGGCACAGGGGGGTTCTCTTAGCTTCCCTGAGGTGAGCAGGGGAAATCCGTCAGAGCAGACTCAGCTGGAGGCCTTGGGAGTAAAAGTAAGAGTTAATTCTTCATCTGAGGAACTGGAAATGGTAATGGAGAACAGCTCCAGACCTGGCCAGGGTGTTGGGGCAGGGGCACAGGGGGGTTCTCTTAGCTTCCCTGAGGTGAGCAGGGGAAATCCGTCAGAGCAGACTCAGCTGGAGGCCTTGGGAAGTCTTAAAAAGTCTGATAAGTAAAAATTAATTCCTTATTCAAGAAACTGTAAAAGGTAATTTTTCTAGTATGCTTTTTTTGCCCATTACAGCCCTGCTTTGCTTCTCCCTTAATCCCTTAGTTTAAAGCTCCTGACAAGATGATCCACAGATCCCAGAGGCTTCCAGGCCTCCCTGTGTTTGTAGACTTGAATCACATCTGAAGTTTTTAGACTTGAATCACACTTAAATTTAAGTGGTTTCCATCTTCCAAGGAATCCCTGTGGGTTCTTTCCTCTCTCCAAGGAATCCCTGTGGGTTCTTTCCTTTCTCCAAGGAATCCCTGTGGGTTCTCCCCCTGGAATCCCTCTGTGTTCCCTCCAAGGAATCTCTCTGTGTGTTCTCCATCCTCCTGCTCACCTCGAGCTCAGAATTCTGCACTGATGGGATTTTCCTCTTTTTCAGATCACCTTAAACCCTTCCTGGACGACTCCACCCTGAGATTTGTAGACAAGCTCTTTGAGGCAGTGGAGGAAGGACGAAGCTCCCGGCACTCCAAATCCAACAGCGACCGGAACCGGAAGCGAGAGCTCAAGGTGATTATTGATTATTGATTGTTAATTATTGATTATTGGTTGGCTTTTTCCTATGGTTGGGTGGCCTGGAGGCAGCACTGGTGCTCTGGCACACTCTCCTCTTCCAGAGAGGTACAGCTCAGAAGGTTCAAGAGAAACGACTCCTCTCCATGATGAAGTGTGGGAGCCTTTACCTCGAGGTTCTCTTTCCCAAAGCCAAGGTGGAAGCCTGGCTTTGGCTTTCTGTTAGGCTGCTGGATGAATCCATGGGGATCCATCTCCCTTCTCCTCCGTGCTCCTTGTGCTTCTCTCTTTATTTGGAGCCTGGGAGAGCTGCTCCCAGTGACGTCCCGTCGCTCCCCGTGCCCTGACGCAGCACCTGGGGCTCTGTGGTGGATGATCTGGGGGGTTTTCATCCCCTTTCTCCACCCAGAATCAACAATAGGTGGTTTTTGGCAACTCCTGTCCTAGCACAGGATTGATTCCAGCTGGGATTCCATTGTTCTGGTGTTTCTTCCTTGCCTGGCATGGTGGAAGGCTTGTACATCCAAAGCTGTTTTCACTTCCTTTCTTCTCTTGAGGACTTTTCTCACCATCCTGTAGAATTCCATTTTGCCATCACTCTGCCAAGTCTGACAGGACCTTTCCTTCTTACAGTGATGTTCCTTTCACTCTTCCTGAGATTCCTATTTTGTGGCAGTCTGGGTTTTCCCAACACTTGGAGTCA